ATATATATATATATATATATATATATATATATATATATATATATATATATATATATATACACAACAACAACACAACATAATAAATAAATGAATAATTAAATAAATAAATATATCTAGTTGTTCATTTACATTTATATTTATTTATTTATATTTATATTTATATTTATTTATTTTTTTATTTTTTTTTTGTTGCAGCTATCGAGGCCTATATGCGTAGAAGAGTATGAGGTTTGCTCGCAGCTGGGGCGTTTTACATTGAGAGATGAAGGTATATTTATTTTATTTATTTTTTTATTTTTTTATTTTTTTTATTTTTTTATTTATTTGTTTGTTTATTTATTTATTTATCTATCTATCTATTTATTTGTTTATTTATTTATTTATTTATTTGTTTTTTTGTTTGTTTATTTATTTATTTTATTCTTTTTTATTTGTTTATTTATTTATTTGCTTATTTATTTATTTATTTATTTGTTTATTTATTTGTTTGTTTGTTTGTTTTATTTATTTTATTTATTTTTATTTATTTTTATTTACCTATTTATTTGTTTATTTATTTGTTTATTTATTTCTTTATTTATTTGTTTGTTTATTTATTTGTTTGTTTGTTTGTTTTGTTTGTAAATAAAAAAATATATTATTTTGGTTTGTATAACTGTTTATAATTATATTTACTACATTATCTATATTATATATTATTGTATTTCTTTACTTTTTATTTATTTTTTATTTATTTTTTATTTATTTTTTATTTATTTTTATTTTATACAGGCAAAACCATCGCTGCTGGGAGAGTGACGAAAATCCTTGAATATGCATAATCATATTTGCGGTGTATGTACACCTCAACCGAGAGAGAAACCAGCAGCAGCAGCAGCAGCAGCAGCAGCAACTGCAGCAGCAGCAGCTGCAGCAGCAGCTGCTGCAGCGACAACAATTGCAGCAGCAACAACTGTAGCAGCAGCAGCAACTGCAGCAGCAACTCCAGCAGCAGCAACTGCAGCAGCAGCAGCTGCAGCAGCAGCAACTGCAGCAGCAGCAACTGCAGCAGCAGCAGCATTTACAGATATTGCCTTATAGTTATATATCTGTGTTTCTCTTCTCTTTATCTTTGGTGGTTTGTTATTTCATTCTTTTTTTTTGCTTCTGCTGATTAATGTTGCTGCTGCATGCAGCAGCAACAAAAAACAAAAAAATATAAAATCAGCTGCAATGCAAACGAAACAAATTTTTATT